GAAGACAGTCAGGTTATTAAGTTTATATTGACTGGTATCTATTTTTTTCTGTTGGAAGACCATCAAAATGGAGGATGGATCAACATAGATACTTTGTAATACTGTCAGAAAATATCTCTGGATCCGCTCCTGTTATTGACCATGTTACCTGTTGTGCAAGATTAAAATTCAGTGTTGACTGACAGTGCTATTATAAGCATTATTTATTATTGCATCAAAATTGACAAAATGACCTTTTTTGCATCTTTATTTTCTGTTTTTTGTCTGTACATTTGACAGCTTTGCTGCCTTGTTTTTTCTACATTTCTATATAATTTATCAAACTTTTATTTATGGTATATTTTTCATGTCATCGTTTTTCACATTTTAAAACATTAATCTAATTATTATATTTATTTTCAGGAACAACTTGGCACACCCTTCAAGTTTTGGACCACAGTAGTTTCACATCCATGCAAAGAGTCTATATTCCTCTCCCTGGGAGAGCTGCCACAGCATCTACCCAAATAAGGTGGTGGCAACCAATCTCTATGCCAACCAAGCCAGCAGCTGTATGGTCATTGGACAACATATTCATAGGGGGCTCTGCTATCAATCCAAGTGAATTGTGGGACGAGTTTGGCAATTCTACAGACTTGAGCTGGGAGTTTTCTCTTAATGGCGAAGTTCTAGATAAATTTTGCGGGAAATCTGACTTGGCTATGACCTGGAGTGAGGGTGTTGGAGAGCGATATATTACTACTGGCCAGTTGATCGTTCAGGAGAACTATATGCTACAGTTTCAGGTACAGCTGTGCTTGTGAAAACAGTAATAATTCTCTGCCAGCATTGGCCTATATTTCTCAAAAGGCGAATCACTTATTCATCGTTTTTTTTTTTTTTTTTTTTTTTTTTTTTTTTTTTTTTTTTTTTTTTTTTTTTTTTTGTTCTCTGAGAGGGAGGAAAAGCTTTAACTTAGAGGTTGACTCTGAGGCCGTATTCTTTATTTGCAGTTACAATAGCAGTAAGGTGAGGGGCAAGAGTTATATTCTAAATATTAACCAGTTATCAGATAAGACTGTTTTAGTTGAGAATATTTCTCTCTGGTTGGGCTGGGGTTTTTTTTCCGATAATTTTGTTAAGAGCAATGATGGTTACCTAGCAGGCAATTTTTTAGAAAAGCAGAAATAATCAAAAATCATTAATTTTGTGGTGTATATCCCTGTTGATGTTTTCATGTGTTGTTATTAAAATGTTACAGAAAATGGCTGTGATGTCTGATTTCAGAATTCAGTTTTGTCTCTTTTATAAGGTTTTGTTTTTGAGTTTTATTGCTGTTCAGGTATAGCAAAATCAAATATATTTGTCTTAAGTGAAATATATTAAATTTTCTCCACTGGATCTTGCATATAGATCGCAGTTGGTTGTGATCAGCTTCGCCACAGCTGCAATGATCATCAGTCAATCAGATTAGAATATAACAAAGATCCACGCTCCAATAATTGGAACCTAGTCCAGCCTGTGTGCCTGCCAGGACACATCTCTAGTTCTGAGTGCAGCCCTTACTCCTACTCCACTGGAAGTATTTACACAGCGAATGAATTTTTAACATGGAAACGAGTGACTTTGGACTTGCCCAAGAAAGTGTTCTCAAGGTAAAAATCATGTATTAGTATGTGGCATGTAATGAATTTTGTTAAGTGTAGTTCATTTTTTTTAAAAACAATTGTGGGCATGTTTTTTTAACCATATTTTCCTTTTTTTCAGTTAATCTTGTTCAATTGAAAAAGAGTATCTTCACTTTTACAGAATACAAAGACAATTTTAATTGTCTTTGTATTCTTTATAATAATTATAATCTTTAAAAAGATTATAATTATTATTATTTTGTGTGCATTATATTAAATTCCACAAATTGTTCTGGTTAAGGTTTTTAGGTTTTTAGAAATTGTCAAACAAAAATGTAAAGTACTTTTCTCATAACAATTTCAAGTTTACTTGCAGTTTTTTTTTATAGAAATTTTTTAGTTTCCCCCTTTCACCATTTTACTTTTATTTATTATTATTATTTTTTTTATTTATTATTATTATTTTTTTTTGAGTATGCAAGAATGTTTAATAAGATGATCATATATATTTTAGCTCAACTCGTTTTCGTTGGGTCCAAACCAATACTAACACTTCAGCGGTTGCCTGGGCTTTAGATGATGTATACATCGGGGAGAAATGTCCAGAAATGTGTGGAGGACGTGGATTCTGTCTCAACAAAACTTGTCAGTGTGATGATGGGAATTTTGGTAGGTGTTCACTCAGGGGGCACCCTGTGTCGGGATAGGGAACTGTTTTTCAACATGTCTTTCCAGATTTATTTTTCTGAAATATATTATAATGTTCAGTACAAAATTTCACTCCCTTAGCAAAATGTAACAATTGCAGGAATATGATATTGCAGCAATATTCTTGCCAACTTAGTTTGTGGCAACATGTCTGCAGAAGTTAGAAAGAAAAATTTTATTGCTGCTAATTTGCAGCAAATTTGCAAGGAGGAATTGCAGTTTGCGGCAAATTTGCTGCATATTTACAGCAGGCCTGATATTTTGCTAAGGGAGCTGAGCATACTTTTGATACTGGCCAGTGTGGGAAAATCTTCATTGACTGCTCTCAAATATCTATACTGTAGATGTCTTTTTTAAAGTACAGCATTCTTAAAATGTGGATGAAAATTACATCATTTTTTTATTTCATATTTTTAAAGTTTCATACTGTTAAAAATATAAGATTAAGATCACTAGCCTATTATTGATAGTGTCACACGCGATTTCAGGCCGTGTCTGCCAGCCAAGCAGAAGCCTCCTCTTAAGTCACATGTCAGATAATTTCGATGAGAGCATTAAACCTGGGTACTGGCCACAAGTGGATGGAGGGGGTGTAGGATATGGGTGTGGCCCTCTCCATCCCCTGGGGCATGGCAGTAACTTGTATTTTAATGGATGTGGGCTGAGGCAAGCTATCACTGCAGAGATGGACACAACTAAGGCTAGGTAAAACAATGACCTACGATTAGAGAGCATGTGTTCATCCACCCAATTGCTGAAATGCAAAATTTTCACCGCAGATTCCACATGACTTTCCCCTTCTCACTCAAATTATTGTTCGTCTTGAAGTTTGCCTTCTTTGTCTTGTGGATTTTATTATTTTCTTTGCTATAAGTAATTTTAAAAGTAGTGCTTGATCATTCCCTTTTTATGTACAGACACAGATGTGTCTGTACATATAGCCATCATCTGCGTCTGTCGTCGCCGTCGTCGCCGTCGTCGCCGTCGCCGTTGCAGGTCAAGCAGGTCAAGTTCGAAAATCAGCATGATCGGGTCACTCTTAGGGAATTTATGCTGTTTTTTCACTTTTTTCAACATATATGCAGCACCGATAACACGATAAGTGGAAAACCATTGTACCTTTTGGCTTGAAACTTACAGTACTGATGAATATTCATAATACGCAGGTCGAGTTCGAAAATCAGCATGATCGGGTCACTTATAGGGAATTTATGCTGTTTTTTCACTTTTTTCAGCATATATGCAGCACCGATAACACGATAAGTGAAAAATCATTTTACCTTTTGGCTTGAAACTTACAGAACTGATGAATATACATAATACTCAGGTCAAGTTCGAAAATCAGCGTGATTGGGTCATTTTTAGTGAATTTAGGCTATTTTT